CGCGCCGCGGGGGGCAGGTGCCGGTCTGGGGGGGGCGCTCCGCGGCAGCCCCCGCGGAGGGCGGCCGTGCGTGCTTGTCCTTGACTCATCCTTGCAGCAGGGTACGTGCCGGGAAGCACAGCGCCGGGCTGCGGCTCGCACAGCGGCATTGTGGGTCCGTCTTCTCTCAGTCTCTCGCACCCGGGTGCTTAGTCATGATAAGCTCCGCGATAAGATCACGAGCAGCCATCCGTCCGTGTGCCCCTACCTGACGGTAGTACGGCGGTGCCTACCCCTGCCCTGCGGTGGGGGAGGGAGGGACGTTTAGCCCTCCCTTGCCTCATGCTAGCCACGTTACAGAAAAAGCATTGCAACGTATTTTTTGCTAGAGGAGGAAGTAAGAAGCGCAAGCGGTGTGATAACGTTCAGCGGTTTCATCCTCTAAAGTGGGACTGATGTGTTTTGCACACTGGAGACTCTGCTTATAAGTCGTGTGTGTGGTTACATTGTTGGACTATACCAACAATCTGAAAAGTCTAATACTATGTAGATGCATCCCTGACTTGAGTTTTTAAGTGAGCCTGGGTAATAGAGATACAGTGAGCTTCTGTTCTGAGTGTCGAGATAAGACTTGTTGCATGTATCAAGCTTTTCATTAGCGTTCTGGGTAATGTGACTTTTCTTTCCTTTTGAGCTCATTAGATAATTCTTAAATTGTAATTAATATTGCACATGAAGTCCTGCGTATCAGTATACAAGAGCTAAAGTGTCATTTGCGGTGCTGGAAAAGGTATGTTAAATTTTTGGAGTATTGACTTCATCTGGCTCTTCTAACAGGACTTTTTGTGCTGTTAAAGAATTTCATTAATATTATCCTATATCAATCTACTAGGTCTTCTCTAATAGAGCTAGTTCTGGTTGCAAGTTTTCCTTATGTCCAGTATATCCCCAGAGACTAAATTTGGTAATGTCCTTGGAACAAAGGAAAGCTGAAGCAAACCAGCTAAATAAATCAAAAGGTATAATCTAGAGCTTTCTTATAAGGTTCGTTCCTGAATGGCTTAAGCAAGTATTCTTACTGGGGATAGCACTGCATCTTAATCACATTGGCTATCACTTTAGCATTATCCAAGCTATTTTACCCATAAAATATACTCTCTCAGTCTCAAAGTCTCTATTTAATTGCTGTTGTGAATGTGTAATATACTTAGACTTTTTTGAGTGTTAAGACTGTCACTGTGTACAGTTAACCGAGGAGAAGATATTTGAGAACTGTTGTTTCAGGCACACATACTCATTTCTAGCATGTCTTCTCCATGCTGAAAGTAGTCAGTGTGTCTCCTAGAATGTGTTCATCAGATTTTTTTGTGAAATATTCTTTACCAAGGTTATATGTTTCAAATGGCTGCCCAACTTAATGTCCTTTTGTGCTGCCCATAAGCATAGGAAATAGTTGAAGTGTTTCAAGTTTACTTGATCTATCTTAATCCTTTCTTTTCATGATTTCAGTCCTGTTTCCTGATAAACACATTCTAGACTACCAGAACTTTTTCATAGCAAAATACAATTGCAGAACTGACAGCCTGAGTTAGTTTGACAGATCTGCTTGTATACTTCTCATTTATTGCCACTTTGAGCCACATCAGCAGGATGATGGTAGTTAAAATCTGCTGAAAGCCTAAGCAGTCTGGAGGTTTGGCCACAAGGTCCTCTCTGTAGTCTGCACCTTTCTTCTTGTGTGAAATTAATCTTTATGAATGCATTTCACTTGGTTCTGCTAGGTATTATGAAATCGATGACTCTCTTTTTCTTCTGAAAGGGAGATAAACTTGTACCCATGTAAGAGTGCTTCTTGATACTGGTTCTGGAGAAATTTCAGACTGGTGTGAATAATTTTTAATTTGAATATTTTATTACTGAGCAGAAGTATCTGTTTACTGTTATTGTAAGAACCTTACACTTGCTGATTGTGTCCTTCAGAATATATAGATAGAAGATCGTTTCTTCCTTTTGTCCTTTTTTTCTTCCTTAGAATTTGTATATCCTGTTTTCCTGATTGGGAGTGTAGTCAAACCTGTATGGTACACCTTTGGCTTGCTTTGCCACCCAAATGTAAGGTCTGGTAGGAACAGTGGGTCTTAATGGTGTGGGTTCACTAAAAAACCTCTACTAGTGTTGAAGGTGTTAGAACTGATACGATGCAGCCATCAGAACTCAGCAGATAATAGATACCTGGATGCTGATTAAGGTACTCTTGATGCGAATAGCTAGTGCAGGATATAAAGCACTAGCATTACACTCCTGCTAGTTGGCTTGTCCATTATGAAGGATCAGAAAGAGCCTCTAATCTAAATGGAAAACATACCACCAGGGAATCTGTGTGTAATAATACATTTAGGGGTTGCATACAGCTTTAGTTTGTGTTTAGAGGGGAGATAAAATAATTCTGACATGCTGCAGGTGACCTTCTGATTAAGGGCTGCATCACTTAAATGTGGATGTGGCTTACGTGACAAGGCTCTTGTTCCACCTGGGTAGCACTACCATTAGCTGCTGCATTGCAGAATGGGTAGTGTAGCAGAATACAACTGAGCTGCAGGGTTTTGGGCTCCTGTTTAAATAAAGCATGGATCTCTTGGTGTAAGGGTTTAAGATGAGATTACATTGCATGCTCTGTATTCCACCTTGTGTGGGGGAAGTTAAATCTGGTAGCCATTGCTTTGTTTTTTGCATGAAATGTCTTGGGATGCCATCTTTCTGCGGTTTCTTCAAATGAGTAGTGATTCGAATCCAGCCAGAATTTCATGGGGTACTCTGTCTTCTAGGTCTAGTGAGATTGACTTTTGTTCATATAAGTAAAATAACAACGAATTGTAGAAGTAAGGCATATGTCAGGCAAACATAAAGAAAAGATTGTAAGGATTTCATGTTCATGCAGTGGAACACTGGAAAAGACTATGTGTCTATATTAAACTGTAGATGAGAATTTTGAGTTCTACTTCTCTGAAATGAAGAAGTATTAGTATACTAATGGCCTCGCTGTATCATTAGTAAGATGTGTTCAAATCTGAGACCTGTCTGTAAATTGCATCAAATCTCAAGTAGAAAGACTTGCAGGATTTGTTCTTGTTTTTTGTCTGTACTGTAACAATAGAGAGCAAATTTGGTAGGTGAGAGGTAATAGTCCTTCCCTTAGCTAGCCATGTTCCAGGTACCCTTGGGCTGGATGGTTAGGGTTTCAGGATTACTGTTTACAACCCACTGAAGAGTGATTAACGGTATTGATACTGTTTTTCCTTACTTGCCTTGTGTTCTTGCCTATAAAAGAAACACTCTTCTAAGATTGTGCTTGAAGACAGCTTTCTTTACTTATTTAGTATCTCTTGTATTTTAAGAACAGAAAAAAGACGTGTATTTCCTCAAGTCGATGAAACCATGTAAATGTGTAGGCCTTGCTGATTATTACTGTTATTGCAAGTTCAGCTCCGTTCTTCCTTTGCAGAATCTTGCCTGCTCTGTCATATTATATCTGTTTGGAATAGCAATTATGCTATGGTTTGTCCCTGTGAAGTCTCTGGCATATGTGGTCACTAAAATAATAGTGCATGTTTCTGGGCTCAAGTATTGGGAAAGAAAAAAGCAGGGGAGATAATGAACAATGTGGAAACGTTGAGAATTTGAAGGCATGCAATTTCCCGTGGCTTGCGCATGTGGAGCAAAAGTGAGAGTAAGATATAAAAGGCCTTCTGTGCTTTTATAGAAGGCCTACTGAATTACTTACAGAACTTTGATTCTTCAGTTTAGAGTAAATATGTATATTTGGCTGTAAATTAGTGCTAAGAAGAAATGGCTAGAAAACTGTTCTGTGAAGGACTGGAGGGACTGTAGAACTTGCATAGATACAAGGCTAGTATAAAGCAACAGGCTCACTTGATTTCTATTGGACTACAATTTCTGTGTTTCATCTTGGATGTAAACCTAGAAGTGCTTGTATTTTGAAGTGTTAGGCTATAGATGTCAGATGATGATTAGTTAAATAATTTGGAGACTTCCACTGAGTCAGTGAGACTACACCATGCACAAATGGGGTTTAATTCTGCCTAGTAGTTGACAGAATGTTTCTGTACATTAAGTTGTATAGATTTTTAAATCAGGCTTGTTCAAGTCTCCACATAAAAGAATGACTATGTTTATTGAAAGGACCTGTACAAAGACAGTTTAATTTCGTAGCAGCAAAAGAACGTGGTAAGCTTTTTACCTATGATATATTAGGAAAAAGCTAATTATTGCTAGGGAATGCTAGTGGCTCAGTGAGAACAAAATGTGATTGTCCAACTGTGCATTAAATAGACTTCATTGTATTTGGAGTTTCACAAGCAGAAAGTGGACGCTATACTTCAGCTTGTTGAAAACCATGGTCTTAATCAAAAAAACCACACTAGTCATTTTATGAACTTGTGGGGCAAATCCCTTCCTCAGGTCATCTTTACTAACTTAGTATAATTAGGATTCCATTTATTTTGTAATCTGTAGAGGTGTTATTGTATTGCTTGAAACAGTCACTCTTCAGGAATATGCAGTTAAACAACCTGTTTTGACAGCTTGACTCTGAATACTGACCATGGGGATATCTTACTGGATTATTCGAAGAACCTTGTTACAGAAGAAGTGATGAAAATGCTGATGGAACTGGTAACTCTTTAAAATGTTGAATTAATAAAACAAATAGTTTTTTTGAAGTTAACTTTTACCTGCAACTGATTATTCTAGCATTGCTTATATACATTTAGCTCCAAATTTGGGAGACCTTCAAAGTTAAAAGGCATCTGTTTACAAATCTTGGCACTGTTCAAAGTCTTGCATTGTCCTTTAGCTCCAAGGTACAAGGCCATTTTTCAATGCACTCACTGAAAAGATTTTTGTCTGTGTAACAGACCAGCTGGCATATGGCACTGTTATTGAGGTCTGCAGTAAAATAAGAGATTCATATAAAGCTGTAGGAGAACACCATGTCTTCTGTACCTGCAATAGAAACAATGCTTCATGTCAAGCAGTCTTAGTTTTGAGATTCAGTTGCAGTTGGATGTATTTTAAGGAAGAAGTTGTGTCCATATTTACAATCCTTCCTTAACTATTGGTTCAGCAGAAGGCTTGGACCAGATAGGACACAAGTTTTTTTAAAAGGGAAGAACTAGCAAAAATAGCCATAGCAAATATTACTTTTGCTACTCTTCAGTTTAAAAAAAATTCTAAGCTGTTACAAAGAATCATTAATGAATCCTGTAGCAGTGTGACAAGATGAAACTGAGTAATTAAGATGGATTCATTGCATCTTGGTCATTCAGCATATGTTACTGTGTAACTGCTTAAGGAAATAAACAGCCTGCATAAAAAATACTTGCTTTAAAATAAGAGAATCAGTTTTTAAGCTAGCATCTAGTGGGTCTTTTAATATCCTAATTTTTTTTCACTGTCTTGTGTGGTAAATGTTCACACTCTTTAATGTAGCTGGACCTTTGTAGTGCGTGTTGACTTCCTACTATTTTAAAGAGGAATCTGTTTTTACATTTCTCAGGCAAAGTCAAGAGGTGTGGAAAGTGCCAGAGAGCGCATGTTCAGTGGAGAGAAGATCAACTTCACTGAGGTAAGGCTATTTCTGTCCATGGTTCTTCACCCTCAGTTCTGCCTATATATTATGGATGTTCGTGCATCTGTGGAAGAGGTCTTGAAAAAACTACTCTGATTGGTACTCTGAAATGCTGAGTGGTTGTAATGTTTGCTGCACTACTGAACATGAGAAACTTTTACAGCTCTGACAGACCAAAGAAAATGTGTGTGAATAAAGCTATTCAATCCTCCCTTCAATATACATCTTAATTTTTTTAGAGATTTTGGTGGTATATTTTTTCTTGTCTTTTCTTCCCTCTTTTGTAGAGAGGAAGCTGAGTTAGATTTTGAAAAAGGCATTGAGCAGAGTATTGCATTCCAGGTATCCCTTACATGCTGTTGTCTAATGACAGTGTTCATAAAGCTTAGTAAACTGCCTGCAAAGTTGCAGTGAGGATTGTGTAATACTTTCCACTTAGCCTTATTGATGCTGCCTATCATTAGGTACATTTAACAGTAGAGACTATAAACAATTGTGGAAAATTAGCCACCTATTTCAGTAAGATAAGTATCTTCCTCTTTTGGTAGATCTGAAGGTTGTAATTATGGTTAAATCTTCACTAAAACATACAGAAAATCAACTGTACCTTTTCTGAAATTAAAAATAGGACAAAACCTGGAAACTCAATAGTATAGTGTGACTTATTAAAGGTTATTTAGTATGTCTGAGGTAAATTCACATAAATCAGTTTTTCCTTTGACTTGGTTATTGACTAATTTAGCTGTTGCACAAGCTGTTTGCTTAAAATAACTCAGCAGTTGGACATTGTATTGTTTGTGAATGCTACATGTTTGTAAAAATGCACAGACAGAAACAGATGAAGCTTCACTGGAGAAATGGTTCCTCTTCATTCTGTATTAATGCCTTCAATTCACAGATATAAGTCTAGCTAGTGAAAAAAGGAAGTGGGAAAACAGGGTGATGAGTCAAATCTACCTGGAGGATTGTTTTCTCAGATATTGCCTCTCACTAGCCTCATGTAACACAAATTACTACAGGGCTAGCACATCTCTGACCATATATTATGGAGCTACTCTTCATTGTCTACATGAGAGCAAATATAGCAGCTGAAGCCTTCTCAGAAGGAGGCAATTTTCACAGAAAGCACTTGAACACAGTATTAAAGTGTGATGCGTTTGGCTTCTGCTGCTAGCTCCCTATCCTGCTACTGTCTTGATATGGCAACTTTATGTAACAATTACCTGCATGATGAGTCTAGGAACATCTTTTTTGTTATCAGGCTGTTTCTTGTTTACAGTCAGAAGTTGACTTGGAATTAGATTTGGTTTGTTTAATTTTTTCTGTTTGTAATGAATATCAAATCAAGTTGGTTTGGCTCTGGAATATGAGCATGTGGACAATATGAAATTGTCATGAGACTTTAAAAACAGGATGCTGTCAAACAGCATGACTGGATAAACCTAAAGCAATAAGACAGAAGGGAACTGCTTAATGGCAAGAACTGACTTGTCCACTACTCTTGCTCTGATTTAGAAAATTTTTAGCTATTTGTCTTAAGTATTTAAGACTTGTCTGTATTTGGTGCTGCAGGCATTGGCTGTGTGGTGTGTGCTTATGTGGAAATTCTTTATAGTGCACCCAAGTGTGTCATTGCCAGGTGTTTGTCCCAGATGAGTTAAAACTTGCAGCTTGATATGGCATGAAGACAGTGCATTGCAAGGAAACTCATATCTGACCACTCATTATGGTGACAGTCTTCATAGCCCACCTGATATTTAGAAAATAGTTCTGTTTAACAGTAGACATCAGGTCAAATATGGCTGTTGCTCTTGATCAAGACAAAGCTTCCTTTAAGCCTGGTAGTAAGTAGTATTTACCAAATAATACTGTTCTGTTGCTGAGTGTTGCAAAAAAAATTGCCTCTGTTCACACCAAGTTTAAGTGGGTACACTTTGATAATTAGCAACTGAAAGAGCTTTTTCGTGTTCCAAGTCAGTAACCGCAAACTCAATGATATTTGAATTAGCATTTGGTATTTAAATCATAAGTTGGCAGTTCATATTGTCTGTGTTGTCTTTGTCTCACAATGCCCCTCATTGTAGTGAGGAACAATGAGGTAGAGCAGACTAATTTTTTAATTTGTTCATTAGTATTGACTAACTCCTTCATTCTAGCTTAAAGCTGTTAAGCTCCTGAACAGACAAATCACAGGCCAGATTTCAGTGCTTTGACTTGTGTATAACTGGAGAATTAATATAATATGGTGCATGCTAACAGATTTTTTTTCCTCATAACACAACTACCACCTACATATCTGGTGTGCAACTATTCAGGGAACATTTAGCTGTGGGCAGCGGATAGAATAATGTGGCTATTGTATTCCTTTTTTGTCAAATGTTTAAATATGTATTTCTCTTCCTATATGAAATGGACTACTCGGGATAATTGAGAAAATGCCAGAAAATAACTTTGGCTGCTTGTTATAATTGACTTTCAGTATTGTCATTAATAGGAAACAACTTCATCCTTGTATACCTGAAGCATGCCAAAATAATTAAGATCACTGAGTACTTAATATTGCTGAACTCTGAACCTCAATCATTAAATGCTTTTTGAGGCATTTTGAGCTTTCTTTTCAAAGTAAACAAATAAGCTATTTGTATTGTATATTTATATTATATGCTTTTATAAGCCCTTTGCACTGATTCTGTGAAGCAAGAGGGTGACTTAGATAGCTTGTGATGAGTATGTGTATATACACATACACATGCAAACTACTACTCTACTAATTCCAGTTAAGGTAAAGGATTTTTAAGCCCTGAAGACTGTGCTACCTTCTGGATGAGGCACCTGAGGCCCCTGGGTATAATTTGGAAATAGCTTCATCAATTTTTTTCCCTTTTTGTTTCAGAACCGGGCTGTGCTTCATATTGCTCTGAGAAATCGTTCCAATGTGCCGATACTTGTAGATGGGAAGGATGTTGTTCCAGAAGTAAACAAAGTGTTGGACAAAATGAAACACTTCTGCCAGGTATGAAGTACCACCATAGCTTATTTTCATATATTTGTTCTATACCCAGCAAAGTTCTTATATGTGTATTGTGAAGCGTAGATTGTAGGCTGGTTGACATGAATTATTGTGCCCTGGTTTGAGGTTTATAATAGTTCTGGCTCAAGCATGGAGTTGGAGCTGGTTTTAGTATGATTCACTTTTCTCTCTGTTCCCAGTTGAGTTTTTCTTTAATGGGCTCTCTAGATTTTGCTCTTTTAGCAGTAATCTTGCATGTACTTCAGAAGTCTTGTAAATCATTAAGTACCATGCAAATACTGCCTTATTTCTTGCTAATTTTTCAACTACTTGACTCCAAGTAGAAACTGCCTCTTAAAGTTTGTGTAAAATCAGGAGAGATGTAGAAGCTCCCAGCTCACTTGCAATTTGATTATGCTCTACCTAAATAGTTTCTTAAAAACCTTCTGGTTTTAGGTCGGATTCCCTTATGATTCTATTATGTTTGCAGCTTTAGCAGCATGAAAGTTACTTGTTCCCTAGTTAAATATAGCAGTTAACCATTATCTTCAGATATCATTAATTGTTCTTTGATTCTGTACATCTTTAAAATGTACGCATCTTTCAGATCAGTTGAGGAAATGCTCTGAAGAGTTTCACAGAGCACTCTAATGAAGTCAAATTTATGTGCAATAAAACTAATCAATAAAAGCTCACCAAGTAGTTTTAGTGCATTTTAAAGATGTCTGCGAGGAACTGGAACTGTTTGGTTGCTACTGTGAGTCTTATCCAGGTGGTAGTGGCCAGTATCACTGCCAACTCGTACATGTTAACCTATACAAAATGAGCCTGGATTATGTCCAGTTCCTAATGGATAAATGCCAAAACCACAATAACTGACACTAATTGGTCTGAGTTTGGTAGTTTCTTCACATAATGTAAGAATTGAATGGCCACAGAAATTCAATGGTCTGTTTTCCACTGTAGAGTGTTTAGCTGATTAAGATTTTGGTAGTGTAAAACAAGATTTTTTACTGGTGCCACCCTCTTTATTGCTAGATAGTTTCAATCATCAGAATCTGTGAATATCACTTTCCGTACAGATGTATGTTCTGTGCGAAATAAAAATCATGTTAAACAGTTCCTTTGGAAAGATTAACAAAGATGCTTGTTTCAGTTGACTTAGGCAGATGGGATTTTATAACTATGGCAACATCATCTACAGGCTACAGGAATGGTATATACTAAAAATGGATTTTTCATTTGGAAAAGCAAAAAGCTTTAGCTTAAGCATCTGTAGGGTAGCAGAGCAACTATCAGCATAACCAGCTGATTCATTGTAGAACAATTGCTTTAGAGTTGGGGAATGTATGTAGAAGTATGCATGATACTAGAAAGACTCCTTTTGTGATTAGGACAAATTTAATGCATAGGTGGTACACGATGGACAATTCAATGCAGTGTTTTGATATTACTTAATGACTGTAATTTTTTTGTTTGTCAGAACTCTCAGTAACTGTTCAAACAGCAAGAATTGAGCAGAAACCTGTACTACATGCTGTTAAGGTGAAGCCAAGAAATAAATTTTAATGCAAAACATACATGCAGTAGGAAAGCTTTTTGAGTATTTGGTTTGCCAATAAATCTCCATGGCTTTATTCATATTTTAATGTCTTCTAGTTTAGCAAAGTTCTTTCTAGTTAAAGACACATAAAGAACCCCTTCAGGTTCAAATATTTGTTGCAAATAGTTTAATGCCCAAGATTTTTTCACTTTTAGCTTGATTTCTCTTGAAGTGTCATCTTAGACATAACCCAAGTGTCTAGCTAAGAAGATAGCTTTGAGTATAAGCTTTAAAGTCTAGAAGCTTGAAAGTTGTCCTTGGAGACTTTTTACAATGCCTGAAAACACAGCCTATTTCCAGTGTTAGAATCACTAACTTCAGCATAAGTATAAAATAGTCATTGCAACTCTTTTTTTTTTTTTTGCCACAGAGAGTCCGTAGTGGTGAATGGAAAGGCTACACTGGAAAGGCAATCACTGATGTGGTCAATATTGGCATTGGTGGCTCTGACTTGGTAAGCTCCTGACTTCTGTGCATCTTCCACATCTTTTTGTGTGTGTACATGCTTGCAATGAGGATAAACTAGTTGTTGCTTCTATCCAGGGCCCTCTGATGGTGACTGAAGCCCTGAAACCATATTCCAAGGGAGGCCCTCGTGTTTGGTTTGTATCCAACATTGATGGTACTCATATAGCCAAAACCCTGGCTGAGCTTAAACCAGACACTACACTCTTCATCATTGCATCAAAGGTATGTCTAATACTAGCACTGGGATGTGACTTTCTCTAACTGTAAAGGATTAAGTCAGAATGTCCACAGGAAGGTCTAGATCAGAGACTTGTAGTGTGGACTACTTCTAAACAGGCCTGTTGTGATTCATCCTAAACTTGCAGTACAAGCTTGTGTTGCTACTGAAATATTTGGGGATCCAGAATTCAAGTGCTGAAAGTGGCTTAACCTGAACAAGTAAGACACATGAGCAATTTTGTTGTCTAGGGGGTATTTCTTAGTCAATGCAAGTTTAAGCTTTATTCATGAAAGTTTATAGTAGTGTACTTCTCTGTGGGTGGAATGTGGGATCTTATGTAGTTATTCTTTGAATTTCAAGATCTTCTTGTCTCATTCCTTTTATTTAAGACTACTTTTGGTCCTCTATCTTAAGTACAGTGTTATTTGTTAAGTGTTCTGTTTTTTGCATTAATGTTTTGTGTTAATGAATTGCATGTAATTTGGGAATCTGTATTCTGGTTTAGGGTAGTAACAAAATATCTTCACCTAAATAATGTAGTGCTCAAGGAACTCAACATTTATAAATACTAAGCTTCTTTACTTACGAAGAGGTAAGGATAGTCTGCTGGTAGTTTATAAGATGACACTTACTTCTGAATACAGGCTTAATAGCTGCCTTTAAGTCTTGCCTTGCTAATAACTTATTTTGTAAATGTGATTGCTGGCTGCAGTCTTCCTTTGAGGAATGCTTCTGTCTTAGCAGAGGAAACTGATGAAGACAAACTTCATAGTTATGTAACTAACTTGGGTTGCCTTCATTTGTAAAGCACAGTAGAACCTTTTTGCTGTTGAAGACAATCTGCAACAAATGAACATGTGTGTAATGCTGGCCGTGCTCTACAGTGGCGCTCATTATCTTGGCAATACTGCAGTTGAGCAACAACTTATGGAATAATAAGGAAACTTCACAAAGTAATACTAATGGTCATTTTGAATAATTGAGTTCAAGGATCACGGTTCAAAGGCTTAGAAGACTGCCAGATTGAAAGAGTAACGCTTCAATTTCTGTTTGCCAGACTGTAGTTAGATAATTGGATATATTTGGAAGAGGATGAATGGCATTTTTTTGTTTTCCATAACAGGCTTGTGTTTCATAATGAAATATTTCTGGAGATGGATGAGAGTAGCTTGAATCTAGTGTTCACCCTTAAAGCTAAATTTTAATGGTTGAGTAAATCAGAATGGTTGTAGATATTTGCAAGACTGCATGACTGAACTTCTGTGCACACTTCATGAAGCAGGAAAATGTTTTCTTCTAATCAGCAAAAAAAAATTATGGCAAGAGTCTGAGCAGAAATGAGTGTTCCTTTGTGAAAAAGTAGGAATTGAAGAACAAGAGGACAATCCAGCTAGGTTATCCTGTTTTGATGCTCAATTAGTTCCTTTTTAGTTGAAAGGTAAAACTTTGTATTTAGTTAAAGTAAAAAAGTTTAGTTTCGATGGTTTGCATAACAGTTTGGGGGAGGGAAGGTAGGAAATGGATAATAATTATTCCAATTCCAGATGTATGCTAGTTTGAAAGTAGATAGGTAAATCTAGCAACACTAGTCTTTACTGGATTGATAAGCTTGCTTTTTTGCTGAAATCTGGCAGCAGTTGTCTGTTATCAACATCTAGAATCACTCTGATTATCTGGAACATATGATGTTATTAGCAGCCTGAACTAGTTTCAGTTTTAAGTACAGTGTTTTTCATACTTCCTTGTTTTCCAATGTGCAGACTTTCACCACCCAAGAAACTATCACCAATGCAGAAACGGCCAAAGAGTGGTTCTTACATGCTGCTAATGATGTAAGTTTAATGTTTAGGTTATGTAACAGAATGCAACAGCTTTTGTTGTGCAGTTTCTCCCTGGTCATTCAGTGTGCTTTGGAGCAGAGCCAATAGCTGCCCAAAAGCTGTATAGCTCAGCAAATGCTGTACATGTATAATTTGATACGTACATACATCATTTCAGTGCTTCATGGTTAGTGACAGGCTGTTAATGTCCAATCAAAGTGATAAAATCACTAGTTTTTCATTATAAATTATTGTCATGCATTGTTCCCCCAAATCCTGCCTGTTAAGTAATAGAGTGTAGCATTTGTCTTATAGCTGGCTAATAATTTTGTGGAACCACTGATATGGAAAACCAAGAATATGGTGTCTGTGGCATTACCTTCCAATTCTTGGCAAACCTTTAAAAACGAGGAATTAAGTTATGGTTGGAGTGATATACTGACATACCTATGGCAGATGGCTGTGCTATGAATAGAAACCTTGTATTTGGCTCATTCTCTCCTATTTCTAACCTTTAAGAGAAAAAAACAGATACTGCCTGCTCAAGTAATTAAATAGTCTTTAACCTGTTCCAGTAAGGGTAGCTGTATTGAGTTTGAAAGCTGAGCTTTGAAATTCCTCATTACAGTACTGTTGCAGACAACTCATCTTTGTTCACCAGAACACTTGATGAAAGACCAAAGTCTAAATCTGGAGCTTGAGACTTTCAGTAGTTCTAGTTGTCTCAATCTTTTGACCATAGTCAAAAGGGTAGTGCAGGTATAACAACTTTTTATGCTCCAGAGTGTTGGTAGTGATGTTCCAAATTGATAACATACTGTTAAGGAAATAGTGTGCTGCTCTAAGTAGTGACTGCTTCCGAAGGGCTTCATGACAATATTACCAGAACGTATCTTCAGATAGGCATGCTGTGAAATCCCACACTGAATGTGAATAAGATGATTTCAAGTTGATAATGCAAAAATAACTGATGATAGTCAACAGTATTTTGTTTAAATGTAAATGGTACAGATCAGCTTTATGACCAGAAATCAAAGTAACTGGCATTCTAGATCTAACAATCTGTTTATTTTTATTAAGCCTTCAGCTGTGGCCAAGCATTTTGTTGCCTTGTCTACCAATGCTGTAAGTATAACAAATCGATTCTATTTTTTCTGTGTACTTTTAAGATGGCCTGATTTTAAAATCCAGTAAGGAAGCCTATTTTTTAAGACATTACTTGAATACCAATAGTTAGCCTTCCTCTTGAAAGGAAGCTTTTTTTTCCTACTGAAAATAACTGAAACTTCAAGAGTAATGAACTGTATGAAGATTGGACCTTCATTAGATTTGTGCTTTTTCTGCTAGAGCTTTAAATCTGAAATCAAGATCTTAGACTTGAAATGACTGTACTGTTATTAGTGTTACCCGTGATTGCTCAAGTGTGTGTGAATGCAGTTATGTAAACAAATACTACTCTCCTAGACTCCTCAAGTGCTGAAGTGATGCAGGTAGTTTGTGTGAATGATCTGTAGCATATGATGAGCATAATGTACCCTTATGTGGTGTTTCATGCAAAAGTATGAAGTAGAAAGACCAATACCAATTAGAAAAAGACTGCAATAATTGTGAGGGTGTCAGGTACTGTGGTATGAAGTTCCTTTCTTCCTTTCTGGTTCTGTTAAATGTAAATTGAATGTCAGTCCAACTGCTAACTATATTGCCACTTAGATTGATCAGAAAATGAGTATATGTAATTGATTTTTATTTGAGACTGCTGAATAGTGATAGTGATCTCTGGAAATGAAGGTATGCTTTTTTCTGATGAATGCTATCTATCCTCTAAATAGAGGATGTAATTGAGGAATGATGTATTTAATAGGTACCCAACTTGTGTTTTTTATTTGCTAGACACAAAGCTTTTTAACAATGTTGGGTTTACTTCTGCTGTTCTTACATGCTTTTTTTTATTCTAGCCTAAAGTTAAAGACTTTGGAATTGACCCAGAGAACATGTTTGAGTTTTGGGATGTAAGTAAATGTCTAGCATTATGTGGTAGATGTTGACTTAGAATAATCTAACTGGCTTCAGAAAATGCTAACTGGATGTCAGGGAACTGCCAAAACACCTAGATTATAGTAGTTGTATTCTCTGTACTGAAACATCTGAAAACTTGTAAATAAAGGCAGATTGAGAACATATCAGGCAAGCAAAAGTCCTCTTTTGACCATTCCATTAAAATCCTGCAGTCAAAGGTCTGAAGAGGAGCCTTCTATATTCTTGGCTGTCTAATCAGCTGTTGGGTAACAGGAGATACAAGTCTTAGCTTATTCCTCTGTGTAAGCAGTTATTATAAGCTGTGACATTTGACTGTTGGGGTCTACTGTATGTAATCTAGGCCTGTAAAGGTCAAACATCAGAAACGGGAGCCTAATTTGATATTTTGTAGCAGATGCATATTTTAAGTATATTGCCCTTAGTCTTGGCCCTTACAATTAACCAGAAGCGGGTTGGCTTAGGTCTCATTGAATATGCGCCTGACAAACTAGATTTTAAAGCTGCTGTTTAGAAATTATCTAGAGCATTACGTTTCCCTAGATAGTGTGATAATCTTGCTGAAGCAGGCTTTAACTATAGAGGAGTGATACTAGGAAAGCAGTTAATACAAGCTGCAAATTTAGTATTTGGAAGTGAACTGGTATCATCAAGGGATCTACTTCAACAGATATTATATAAATTGGACAAGTAGGATAACTTTTAAAGTCTCAAAAAATGCATACTTAAGGATTTGTTAGGGGGCTACTGTAAAGTGCAGGTTGTTGACCATGCCATATAATGTGTAATGAATTATCACCCGAAAGAAAATTGATTTTGCTGAAAATAGTCTAAACACATGCTGCTATTTCCTAATAGTTTGAATAAGTTTAAATTTAAAACCCTTGCTCTTCTGTCTAAACCAATCTCTTGTTTTCAGTGGGTTGGTGGCCGCTACTCTCTGTGGTCTGCCATTGGTCTCTCCATTGCCCTGCACATTGGTAGGTATTCCTATGATGTAACAATGCCAAGAATTAGTCTAGCAAACATAACTATGGAATGTATTAGCAATACTGGATTTTGGATAAGATTTGGGACAATATTATTTTACCCAACCTACTCTGGCTGGATGTTTGTGCTAAAAAACAATCTGCAATGCAATGGAAATGTTGAGATTTTAGTACTGTAAATGCAGTTTTGGAAATTACCCACGCTTGGGTACAAATAGTCAAATTGCATCTTTTTAGTCACTTGCATAGCCAAAAGTGCCTGTTTTATGTAAATCCATGTCAGTGTTGAAAATCAGACCTTGCAACTGACATTCCTAAACTATTTAAAAGTAGGGTATTTAGTTTCTGTGGGTGTATACGCCCTAAACATCAAAATCCTATGTCTGCAGTTCTGCATGCAAGCTTTTAGTGTTGTTATCTATTTCCTTCTTCTATTACTTCCTTTTGTCCCCCAGTATTTGTTCTTCTATGTTATAGGGCCTGATGATACAGGAGTGCTGCTTCTGTCTGCAGTTGACTGTGGGGCAAACATAGACCCTTGAAATTGATCCCCACCTACTTGTACTGTAACAGAGTAGTATTGGCATTTCTGATGCAGATATCAAATACAGATAGAGAGTCCACAGTTAATGTGAAAGAACTCTAAGAACTGCTGTTTCCTGGTGAGCAGGCTGTTCAGCAGCCTTGCATTTGTTCCCTCCTTGCTTCTTTCAGATATTTAAAGTCTGAAACCATCATGTCATTTATTTTTCTAAACAAAAGCTAGAATTCCCTTAGTCTGAGGTTAGAAGAAAAACATTAGTTTTGGTGGGTTTTGGAACAATATGAATAGGACTTGTCATGTGTAGAAAAACCTATGTGGACAGCAAAATAAACTTCAGTCAGGCTCTTACTGTTTTGTCTGTGAAACTGTTCATCTCTGCTGTCAGACAGATTTGGTGCTGACTGCTGACATGCCAGCCTAACTACACTTCTTGCTCTTACCTCCATCTCCCAAAGCTGGCTTCTGACTGTCAGTAGAGCTGCTGCTTTGATTGCTAAACATTTCACCTCTGTTTTTCCATATAAGAATCAGGATTTCTGGCTTTGCAGGAAGGGATGGTGTTAAACTACTCGATGAGAATGAATGGTCATTTAAATACCCTAATGAGAGAGCAAAGAAAAGTCAGGTGAATTGTTAAGACAGCAGGGGAAAGGGGGAATCTTTTTCTTTGAGAACCTTATTACAGTTGCTTCTTCTCAGACCAACACAGAAATCCCTGCTGTGCTAGCCTTGTCCTGTTTTTTTGGGATGTCTCTCCCATTGTGGCTGTGAAGTGACTAAGCGTTCAAACTTGCTGAAAACTATGTAGCCTTTAATACAGAGCCTGGTTTTAATGCCTGTGTTTTCCTTCTGGTTGCTCATTCTGCCTGAATGGGGATTTTAGGCAAAGTTTTTTTGAAGTATGTTTCATGAAGCTGGACTTGCTCTGAAGTCCAGGCTTTAATCATAACTAAATATATCTGGCTTATGGGATGCAAACTTCAGAAGTCAAAGTGCAACTTTAAACTCAATTAGTAGTTGGGAGCCTTGCTGCATACATGGAATCTTAACTGTTTTATGATGGTCTTTACAAGAAAAATCAAGTTTGAGTTCTAATAGTAAATACAAACTGACTTTTTCCATTGTCAGGTTTTGACAACTTTGAGAGTCTGCTTGCAGGAGCCCACTGGATGGTGAGTGTGGGATGCTTATTTCAGATTTGCTCCTCTTAAGAGTTGTTAGATAACTGAAGGCAGGTTGGTTTCTAAAGTTCAGCTGCCCATGTCCTCTCTATTTTGAAAATAACTGTGCTTGGGAAGCTCTCCCTGGATCAAAACAACAATGAAAACAGCTTAAGAGTTGGGAAGGATGAGAACTGCTTTAATAAAAGTGTTATTTTCTGTTGCGTCACATAGGATAATCACTTCCACACTGCACCACTGGAGAAGAACATGCCTGTTCTGTTGGCTATGCTGGGGGTCTGGTATATAAACTGCTATGGATGTGAAACCCATGCCCTTCTACCCTATGACCAATACATGCACCGCTTTGCTGCATATTTCCAGCAGGTAAGGCTCAGACAGAGTAAAGGTTTCAAGAAGCAAATATGTAGAATGCTTCTGTGGTGGTTCTAGAACCTGAATGCATGTTTCTAGGTTAAAATTGTGATCACTTAAATTAATGTAATCAAGGGCCTAGAGACTGGTGCCAAGATTGATACCAGCTTATTTGCTCAGTTAATTTAGATATTTTTTTTCTCAGACTGCCATTATCTTGATGTCCATAAAGGAAGCAGCTATATCCCTGATACTTACAAAATTTCTATAAATGAGCAGCATTCATTATAGTTGAAGTATGTATGGAAACTTCTACAGATACTGTGTGGTTCTGCAAGAAAGGTGATACTGCCTTCCCTTCTTTCAGGGTGATATGGAATCTAATGGCAAATACATTACCAAGAAAGGCTCTCGTGTGGACTACAGCACTGGCCCTATTGTGTGGGGAGAGCCTGGCACCAATGGGCAGCATGCTTTTTACCAGCTCATTCATCAAGGTAAACAAACTATTCAATACCTTGTTTTGGAGTTAAATTTTGAATACCTACAAAGCTGTAAGAGACTGCAAAATTGACACTGGTTTAGAGGTTGGACTCTTATGTAGCCTAGCATCACACTGCTATGGTACTCTTAATTAGTGGCTTTTGAAGGCTACAAGATGCAGGTTTTAACTCTACAGGAAGGAAGGTCAACTAAAGCTGAAACTACTGAGCTGTATTGTCACTTCCCCCTGCTGTTAATTAAAAAAAAGCTTTTTTTAAAAGCTTTTTAAAATGGCTGAGTCTTCCAGTAACTCTGAAAATGGGGTGAGAATTGAAGATTTTCTAAGACTTTCCTGTTGCAGGGTTACTAATGTGGCTTTTCTTACAGGAACTCGCATGATTCCCTGTGACTTTCTGATCCCAGTCCAGACCCAGCATCCAGTCAGAAATGGCTTGCATCACAAGGTAATAAGTTCTCTGTCAGGGCACCCATCTTTTCTTGTGGCTTAAGGTGTTGAAGCTTACTCAGTATTGCAGTGTGTGAGATTTCCAAATGTCCCTTTGAAACTATACACATAGGCTCTGTGAACAGTCAGAATAGGTTTGAAAATATCTAAATCATAATGACATATTATATGTAATATATGTAATACAGCAGTATTTTTGTTCTTGAAGAAACTGCAGCCACAGTTCTTGAGGCAGATCAATGATGTGCTCTGTTGGCCTACTGAGGCTGGAAAGAACTGAGCAACTAAGTATTTGGAGAGAAAACTCCTTGTAGGAATTGTAAGGAGTGTGATTCTTGCAGAGTAGGAAGAAGCAGTTTCTCAGAGCTGATGAAAACTTCCTCAGAGATGCTGTTGCAAGCCTTAAACTCTAGGACAAAATTTAGTGAGTATACTAGCATGGCTAGGGTGATAGCGTTCTATACATAGAAGTTTTTTAACCACTCCAATTTTTCTTTTACTGTATCATCCAACTAAGGATTTTCATTGAACAGTGTCTAACCATTTTTTAAGTTCCGTAGGTGAAAACATGTACAGGTCTACTACTTACTGCATACTTCAGAAAAAGGATATTTCCTCACTGCATTTCAGTCTTGTAGTGATTTCAGATTACAAGTGCTATTTGAATTGTGTCATAGTAATTTTTTAAGTAACACCAAGTACAGGTGAACGTTTTAGAACATGACTTTGCAAAAGGGGAGAAAAGGTTTCATTTGACTGCAGGTATAGTAAGAGTTCATCTTCAATGTAATGGGTAGGACAAAACCACACATGAATTTTCAAGCTAACATTAGGCAGGGAATAAGAAACTGAAGGCTTCTACTGTATTGGTAGGGATTGGTATATAGGCTTGCTGTCAGTTTCAGCAGGGGCAGGATTCTGCAAAACAGTCCTGGTTGTCTTTGGATAAATGCACTATTAAAATAGTAATCAAGTCTCTTGGCACTCTGAGATAAAAAGCATTATCAGGCATTATGCAGCTAAAACTACTGCACATCTTATTGCCGTAGTGTTAAAAACAAGAGTTCTAACTCTAGGCTAGGTTTCGGTCTAGATTAAGGCACTACTTATCACTACTCCAGCTAAAGGAAACAGTAGTTTGAGTTGATGTTTTTATTTCTACCTGCTAGATCCTTTTGGCCAACTTCCTTGCTCAGACTGAGGCCTTGATGAAAGGAAAGACTGCTGATGAAGCCCGTAAGGAACTTCAAGCGGCAGGACTGAGTGGGGATGCTCTGGAGAAGCTCCTTCCCCATAAGGTAACCGGGCTTTGGCACTTGCCAGCTTTCCTCTAGCTGCTGTGGTGGTGAGGGCATTGTGTTGGCCTGCTGCTCCATGGAGTTTGCTAATGGGGCAGTGCCCTCCGGTGGCTGTCAAGTGCTATTGTCTTGACAGATGTGAAGGTTGTGCTACAGGTTCTACTTTGTCAGGTCTCATGGAGCAGTCTGTGAACGGCACTCTTGCTAAAGCATGCTGATCTGGAAGCCTTTTGAGGCATTTCAGAAAAGATGAGCTATCTCATCACTGCCCTGGGATACTGACTTGGATTTTTCTTCCTGTAGCCCATAGTAGTCAGTAATGGTGCTTGGAGGTAACATTTTGCCATTGTATTTGTAATAAAACATGAAAATTATACAATTCTATGGTTGAAGTTGTTACCCTTTAAAGCTTTCAGGATTTTGTATTTGCTGCTAATTCAAGTAGTCCAGTGTGAGCTATAAGGAAAATATAAACTGCAAGTTTCTGATGTAAGTTTTACAACATATTAGATGACAATTTAACTCTTGTTTTGAAAGGTCTTTGAGGGAAATCGACCAACTAATTCCATCATGTTTACAAAACTCAATCCATTCACTCTGGGAGCCATCATTGGTAAGTAAGTAGTTCTCTGTGAATGCTTATTAAGACTTTCTGATCAAGTTTGTTGATAAATCTTTTTTTCTGTTTATAGCCATGTATGAGCACAAGATCTTTGTTCAAGGAATTGTCTGGGATATTAACAGTTATGACCAGTGGGGGTAAGTGTCCTTGATCTGTTTCTTGTATACTTACTGACTGTGGTATTCCTTGATCTGTCATGATGTAGAGAAAAGACAGTGAAAAAAATGTTATACTTGGAGCAAATGATTATAGGATAGATCCAAATGAAAACAGACTTTCTGGGGATAAGTCACCGTGTATCCTTGTTCAGCCATGCATAATGAGTTTGTAGATATAACTTTAGCTAAGGACCTTTTAGTTTGATTTAAAAAAAACTGTGAATGCAGAAAAGAGGCAGTAATAGTAAAATAGTGAAGCAGGCTGAACATATGCTCTGAGAATTAGAAAGGGTAAATTTCCCTTATAGAAGGGAAAAGAGGATTATTTTACCTCTAGAAACATTTAGTAGGCAATTTGAATGGCATATGTGAAGCAAAAGACTGACGACCTCTTAATTTTCCTGGAGATACAAAAACATTCTTGGCAGATGTCTTCATATGTAGGAGCCCTAGATCTAATGCAGGCTGCATTTGTGACCAAGGTTCATGGTAGAGTTCCATGTGGAGAAAAGCAGCTTTACAAGGAGTTTGTAATTTTTAAAAAAGGAATACTTAATCAGGAGCTAATCAAGATTCTTTTTAATCTGTAGTAATATTAACTGTACCACATACTGTATGAAGACTTATGCAGGAGAAAGAGTGGTTGGGAAATGAGTAAGAGATATTTTTTTTCAGGTGAAACCTGCCTATACTGTGAGGGGCTATTTTGAAGAGCAAGTTTGCACTGCAGGCCTAGAATAGCAGTTTACACTAAGCTCTCCTTAAAGGCTGAAGGATAGGTCTTTGTATGTGTTTTCTTAGAGCTATGCTACCACAGCAAGTTCTTTAACTAAAATGTTGTAGTAGAAACTCAAAATGGAAGAATGTTTAATAAAAGCTGATACCTGCTATAAACTCTGAAATCAGGAGTGGGATAGGAGTAAGTACAGCTTTTACTGCAACACATCAAAATCTAGAATGACATCCAAACATAACTATGGAATGTGGGGATGCTGTAGAACCAGCCTGGTTTCTTGCAGCTGTTGGAATATCCTAAGTTCTTACCCTGTGTGGCTGTAACTCCTGGATAGCATGCTGTAGTGTTGGGGAAGGCTTCCAGGCCTGCAACTCAGCTGTTGTTTATTGTCTTGGTGCTACAAATCAGTCTTCTGAGTGATGTCATGTTCAACAGTGAACAGTAGCAAGTTGAATGTATTCTGCATTGAGGCAGGCTGCATAACACAAATGAGTACTGAAGGGGAAAAGACTCTGCATAACTTTTAAAACAAAACTTACTTTATTTAGACATCCTGTAATTTGAGAGCTGTCTATTCAGCTAAGCAGCTATGAGAACTCCAGTTGTTCATGAATGGCACCGAGTTGAATAATATTAACTTTGTCAGTAATTTGTGAAGAGAAAAACATTCATCATAATGTTCACTGTCAAGTTACTTTTTGCTGGCACCTATTTTTTATGTCAATGGCTTATAGTAATTACTCTAAGTTGTTAGCACTAATGTTTTTCTTTTTTCTTCTCCTGCTTTTATAAATGCAGAGTTGAACTTGGAAAGCAACTTGCCAAGAAAATTGAGCCTGAACTGGAGTCAGATGCTCCAGTGACATCTCATGATAGCTCAACAAATGGGCTCATCAGTTTCATCAAAAAACACAGAGCCTGAAATGAAAGATTTGGAGGACATCAACAATCTAACCACCGAATACCCAAATCTGTTGTAGTTGTGCTTTTTTAGCCAATTCTAACAAAAATAGCACTTTACAGATGTAGCTTCTTCACTTGTTGCAGTTAAACTTGTTGCGTCAAGTGTTAAAAATGAAAACTAGTTTTGTGAAACCCAAGTTTGTATAGTTGCTTTCTATTTTTGTGGCTGTTAAACTGTAAAGTGCAGCTGGTATGTTCCTCAGTTCTTATCCCTCAACTTCCTTAAAGATGATCACATACTGATGTTAGAAAATAAAAGGTATGATGGATGAGTAAAACTTCTTCACTCTGTATCTTTGAAGTGCAGGCCTAGTTACATTTGCCTCACTGACTGTAAGGTTCTCTGAAGCCAAGTAAACTAATTTCTGTGGTTTTGGACTGTTTCTGCTGTAAGCTGGAAACTAGAATGTGTTCAAAAAATATCAAATCTACAGCTGTAGATTGTTCAGATTGCATAATTTGATGCATTTGGGCAAGATACAGATACTTTTTTTTCCAGTGATAATGTGAAAAGGAAAGCTTACTAATGTTTGGTAGAAGATCTGATTTTTTTTTTCTATAAGCTGTGGAAGCCCTCTGTGGACAGCTATCTGAAAAGGAAGAAAGTTCCTGGAGTGACAGTGATATCTTAGTTTTTTCCAAACACTTTTCAAGAGTTTGTGAAGCAAAAGCTTGGGATCACTTGAACAAATGTATTTTTGGTATCCTCCAAAGGCAGTTTCTCTCACTCTTCTTAAATCAGCATCACTTCCACAACAAAGAATAGAGAACAACTTAACTATTTGTAAACAAGTTGCTTATATCCTCTTTCATTCTCTACCTCTGTTAACCCCTCTCTGATAGCAAACTGGCATGCTGTGGCTATTGTTCTGTAACACCTTTAATAAAGGTAAGACACAAGCATTGAAGGGAAAAATAAGATGTTAACTGTGCTTCTTATACCCTTGACTCGTGATGAGTGTTACTGTGGCTACACAGGCTGAGCTTGTAACCCTTAATGCATGTCTCTGCACAGATTCATTGGCAGGATCAAAGACTCGATCTCACTGATGTGGCACACTAACAAAGCCATAGTGCTTGACAATCTGGCTGCATGGATTTGAGTTGTTAAACTCTGACTAAGTGTATATGTAGTGCTTAAATGCTTTGGTTTCAATCAGCTTTATAAAGCAATTTCTCCATGTAAAACATGGTCACAAAAAAAAGAACCCACTAGGGGGAGGCATCATGTTTTCTTAGGAGGCTTTAAACCTTTTGTCTTCCTCTGTGAAAGCATGTACTAAAGCACAGCTTCACCCTCTTTCTGTAGAGGTGGGTGTGCAGTGAGTTCTTTGTGTAGATGCCCATCTCATTTGAATGGTAAAGTCTATTGTTTTGTCTCGGTGCTATTGTTTCACTTTTTGTCTATTCTTCTCTTGGGAATTAGACCTCAGCAGCTTTTCTTGGAGAAGAAAGTAAGCCTTATGTATTCTGTAACTCCTTGGTTATTCTCTAACCTTGGTATTGTTTCCAAAACCTATGGGTGGTTGTTTTTTTTTTTTCTTGTGGAGGATTTACAGATGTGAGATCTACCCTGCCTGATTATAGCACATCAGGTGTTCTTGCCTACCACCCTTTAACTCAAAGCAGGACAGCAACGCAGAAAGATCTGTTTCTGTGTAATGAAGCAGTATTCTGGCAGTGGTGGTGTCAGACCCAGTCCTTAAGGCTTTTTTAAAAACAAACAATCAAACCTCACGTTGGAAGCGTTTCACCGTTGCCCCGAGAAGGAGAAAAGCAGGGCGGGCAGGCTGTGGATGGCTGTTTGCTCTCCAGGGTCCCCAGGTGCCCGCGGGTCTGGGTCTTTAGTTCCCAGAAGTGTTCCCCCCTAGCGTGTACGGACGAGGCGCTCG